AGTGAGGTACAGATCTTAGCCAGAGAAAAGAATTGGTTTGAGAGGAGAGTTAAAGGCTATTTTTGTTAAGAAAGTGAATCCTTCTTTAAACAAAAACAGAGGACTCAGACACCATCTATCTCCTAATTATAAGGCAAAAGAAGAAATTCAGTTCAAGCTGCTTCTTCAGTTCTGGTGAGATGTATCCAGAAGTGAAGAAGTAGCTTGGATGAACTGCGAAACATATTTGACCAAAATAAACTTTTGTCCAGTTGCCAAATTGAATTTCTTCTTTTGCCATGGATTTCTACTTGGATGACTGAAGGATTGTACACACTCCCATTTAAAACTTGACCCTCAAATCTAATTGAAAACAAACAAAGAGAACAACAGGGTTAGCCAGGTCAGGCCCAGAGGTGTGAAAGCTCCATTATGACCCTGGATGATTCTGCTAATAAGACTCCACACTCGGTGCAGTTCAACAGGTCTAACTAACTAACTGTAAACTAGTAGGTGTGTTAGTTTCAGAGTAGTTTCAGTGTAGTTAGCTCATCCCTTCAGGCAGATAGAAGGCAGTGTCCACCAGCGTCTGACCAGAATTGAAGAAGCAGCTTGTAAGAGCTGTGAAACATATTTGACCAAAATAAACTTTTGTCCAGTTAACAAATTGAATTTCTCCTTTTGCCATGTTTTATTACCTAGAGTTGTGTTTTGTTTCTTTAACACAATTAACATGCAAACCCTTCATATTTAGGCTGTGTTCTTCTCTCAAACAGAAAACACTCTGTCCCCACCTTGTGAAGTCATGTTGTAATACACAAAGTGCTCCACTCTGTTTTTAAACCCCATACAGCTTCAATAGAACCATTCGGTAATTACAGCCCTGGAATGACCAATCTCTACCAAACAAAAAGTAAAAGGAGTTGTTAACTTTAAAACTATCACTACATGATGTCACAAGGTGGAACAGAGCATTTTGAGCTTTGGAGATGAAGGCGGACTAATAATAAAGGATTACTCAAACATGTCTCCAGTTATGTTTTTGAGGAGGTAACAACATTCTAACATGGCTTAAAGCTCACATGAGTTAATTTAGTGTCATATAGGACCTTTAATCTTCAATGAAAAAGTGGGACAATAATAAGTGGGACGAGGGACGGAGACGTAAATGGGTGTAGGACGACCAAAAGAGGAAGAGGTGGCCACCCAATGTACTGAACACGTACAGCTAACAGATAGTGTCCCTTTGTTACTGTTTCCTGGGGTGCAGAATAAATAATGTTGCTAAATATGGCAGCTTACAAGGAAAAATAAAAGAAAAAAAAAAAATTCAAGGGACTGAAAAACATCTAAAATTAATGAGTGAAGCACTAAGCTGACTGTTAATCTGAGGTGAGAGAAATGTCATTTTGTTTGTAAATGATGTGTGACCAATGAGCTCCTTTGTTTCTCGTGTGTCACTGACATAAACAGATCTGATCACACAAACATATCTGGTTCTGGCTGGAGGCGCAACGGTGGGCGTGGAGACCAGACTGAAATCCCACTGTACAATAAATACAGAGAAATATCAGGATTTACCAGGAAACAAAGTCATTATTTATTTTCTTTAAAGGTCCTATATCACACAAAATCAACTCTTGTGAGCTTTAAGCCATGTTATAATGTCTCATAACATACTGTACTTTTCAGACTATAAGGCACTCTTAAAGTTCTTTAATTTTCTCAAAAATGAAAAGTGCGCCCTATAATCCGCTGCCTCTTATGTATTAATTCTGGATGTGCTTACCTTGAACCGATTTTATGTGGTACTTGACGCTCAAAAATCTGTCAAAATGTTTTAGTACGACTTTGGTAAACTATGAAGCCGCACCGCTTGATGGATTGTCGGAGAATTATGGCTCCCGTAGTCAGGAGCCTCGCGGAGTTACTATAATGGAGTTAGTCCGACAGAAGCTCACCGCATCATGTGACCGCATCAGCACACAAGAAGCAAGATGTTTTTTCAGCACTTATAGTTTATGCAAATTAGACGTGGATTTAATTTGAGTCCTCCTCGTATGAAATAAAAAATACATTTAAATGATCCACCCACATTCGCATTCATAATTCACATTCACCAAGACAGGGAGGCAACACGGACGAATTACGCCATGATCTGCCAATGGATCACGGATGCCAGGGCTCAGGGATCAGTCTCAAGTGTCGTCCATTTGTTACGCATAAAACGCCTTCTAATCCTTATTGGGCATTGTGTATGAAAATACACTAGAGAATTCAGCATTATTGATACTGCGCTTTATATTCCAGTGTGTGAAATATATGATACGTGGTGCTGTGCTTTGTTTTCTTCAAACATATTGACTTTATTATTAATCTGTCTACATCTCCAAAGCTCAAAATGCTCTGTTCCACTTGGTGATACTGATATCATGAAAAGGTTAGTTTTCAAGTTAACAGCTCCTTTTACCTTTAGTTCAGTAGAGATTGGTAATTCCAGGGCTGTTATCATCCAAATTATCATAGTGAAGGTGTATATGGAGTTTAAAAACACAGTGGAGCACTTCTTATACTAACAGAGTGTTTTCTGTTTGAGAGAAGAACTCAGAAGAAGAACCAAATATGCAGGGTTTGTGAGTTAAACATGTGCGAATGAAACAAAACACAGATCCAGGTATGTTTGTGATGAGGAGACAACATTATAACAGATCAGAAATATCGTAACATGGGCCCTTTAATTGGGTGAAGGACACCAAAACAGAAACATGTGGTTGCCAGATGTACTGAACAACTATAGTACAAAAAGATAGTATAATTTTCTTCCTGTCTTTTTTACGCAGTATTGATAGTCTAGCTCTTAACAGCAGTACTAAACATTTATCGCACAATGGCTTCTCAAATGTGGCATATTTAATGGACTATAACCAACATAAATTGCTACACTGACAAGAGCTGCTATTAAGCCTGTCGAGTCCCGTCATGTTTTTAATGTAGAGTCAATGTAATAAACTGTCACGTAACACACATGTGGAGACAAGAGCCCGGTCCATATTTCCGGGTTATGGATTAGCTGTCATTGATCAGACTTAACAAGCGCATTAGAATGGGGGTTGCAGTTAAAAAGCAAATGGAAAATGGTCCACAAATAAAATGGTTTGAATATTGTGTTGGTTGTAGTTTTCTAGTAGTACACAAAACCTATAATCTTATATTTGCCTGGCACTGCTGATACGTTATTTTTAGACACATGCATTTTAAAGTCATTTAGTAACATACTGAATAAACTCTAAGTACTTCATACCTTTTATTTGCATGTATTAAGGCATATATGAAAGTACATTTTGGATTGCATTCCCACTATGCTTAAAACTCATCCTACAAAGGCTAAATATACACACCTCTCATTTTTTTTCTTACTATTTTCTACATTTTATACACATATAGAAGACATCAAATATATGAAGCAAGATACACAGAATTGTTTAGTAAAGAAAAAAAGTTAAATAACTCTACTAAATATTTTTTGACAAAGCAAATGGTGGCTAATTTGAGGATTTGGCTATAAAATATATACCGTATTTTTCGGACTATAAGTCGTATTTTTTTCATGGTTTGGGTGTTTCCTGCGATTTATACTCCAGTGGGACTTCTACAGTCATTCTACATTCTGCAGAATGCAGAAGGGTCATAGAGTGTGAGTAAACCTGTCTTAACTTGAGACAATCCAACCACAGACACTGATTTGTATCATGTTTCTCTCAAATGCGGAAAGACATCTCCTTTCCAAAAATCATTCAGAACAAAATATGTGACTGCTTTTGCATCTGCGTATCAGTCATTCATTCGTTTTTCAAAATAAAACCAAATATAAGAAAATGAAAAAAAAAAAAAAAAACAGTTTTCTTCATTATTTGTCTCCAAAACCAAAATGAAAAAAAAAAACAGAAGTTTTTTTCAGTTTTCGATTTGGTGTTTCAATGAATAATGGAAAAGACAGATAAGAGCTGTTTCCCATTTCTGTGACTTAAACTGCAATGCTGGACTAAACCAGGACTGAACCCGGACTGAACCAGGACTAAACCTGGACTGAACCAGGACTGAGTGTCAGGACGGGCCAGAGGTGCGCCCGTGTAGACTGTTGGGTGATCAGGACTAAGACTGAGACCAGACCAGGACCAGAGCAGGACTAAGAAGGGGATCAGACCAGAACTGAGACCAGGACTGAGTCCGAGACTGAGACTGGGACCAGACCAGGACTGAGACCTGGACCAGACCGGAACCAGACTGGGCCTGAGACCGGGACCAGACTGGGACCAGACCAGGACCAGACCAGGACTGAGACGGGGATCAGACCAGAAGTGAGACCAGGACTGAAACCGGTTTAGTCCTGGTTCAGTTCTGGTTTAGACCTGGTTTAGTCCTGTTTTAGTCCTGGTTCATTCCGTATGTGGCGCAAAAGTCCGGCATCGCAGTTTAAGTCACGGAAAGGGCTGTTATCCATTTTTTCCATTATTCATTTAAACACAAAATCAAAAACAAAACAAAAAATAATCGTTATCCGTTTTTTCATTTGGGTTTTGGAGACAAGTTGTTTTCTTATTTTTGGTTTTATATTGAAAAACGAATGATACATGGATTCTTTTACCTGAGATAAATAAGAGTTTGGTGCTTCAGTTTTAACTCATTTTTTTTACATGTAAGCAGAAAGGTTTGTTTTGACACCACTCTCTGATTGGTCAATCCACCTGTCAATCACACCATCTGGAATCGTTGAGACAGGACACAGCTCCGTACCCACTCATCTTTGTAAAATTTTGTTAAAGCGTGTGGTTCTGGCTGATCTGGCAACACAGAACCCACTACTCTGCTGGCCAAACTAAATTAATTTTCTATGGTGATTGAACATGTCAATTAAATCCATTGGCAGCAGTGAGGGAAGTTTCAAATTGAATCCAGTCCACAACCTTCGCGCTGATAGTGAGAGGCTCGTAATTAAAAAGGCTGGTGTAGTGTTGGCGTACCTGACAGAAGACGGGCTTGTATGTCTCGGAGAAGAGCTGCGTAAACTCCTCGGAGTCGCAGAGGTCCAGGGGCAGTCTGTCCACACACACACATTTGGAGTGAAGGCTCTCCTCCTGACTCAGCTGGTTCACATCCATCCACTGCACCATCAGAGACCGGTCACCCTAAACAACACAGAAAATATAAACACTTTTACACAAACACAGATCCATAAGCAACTACACAGAGACCTAAATACTTCTGCCATGTCAATCACTATTTCATCTTTGCACTGTTTCTCCTGACCCACCTATTGTTACTACATTTTTTTCTATATTTTTTACTTGTACATATATTTTGAAATACTAGTAATTAGGGGTGTAATGGTACATGTATCTGTGCTGAACCATTTCGGTACGGGATGTTTGGTTTGGGGGCTGTGCATGAGTGAGTTCGACTCAGCTCTTTAATATTCACGAGTTAACTCTTCTGTGATTGGGTTGGCAGTGTTTCCTGCAGCGCTTTATAGTTAGGGTGGCCACTTTGACAACGATTTCCCCCGCCTTGACTATGTCCCTCCGAACCACATGAATCCTTGTAAAACTGCAGTTGTGACAACTGCCCCGGTCCTCACTTTCGCCTTTCGCCAGAACGGGATCTCCGCCTTCAACGTCTATTATTTTCAGCCGCTGGGGGGACATTACAACTGCAGCAGATCTGTGATGAAGTTGTTTTTTCTGGCCAAAAATATGAAGATTGAGTAAAACTTCATGCTGGAACAGTTAGTGCTGTGCTTTACTTTAAAAAAAAGTTTTGTTTACTGTTTACAAATAATTTATTTTTTATAACATTTCAGCAGCACTGTGTATTTATTTTATTTTCCTGTTTGTATAATGTTAAAACAAATTGTTGGTTTAATAAACACACAAATAAACAACAAGGAAATGGCTTTACATTTTGTTCCCATACTGTACCGAAAATGAACCGTAAAACCAAGGTACCGGGCCGTGATTTCTGTGTACGGTCACACCCCTACTAGATATTATGCCTTATTTGACACCAGCCTCTCTATTTTTGCCACTTATTTTGAATTTATTACTAACAAATATATTTTTGCTCTTTGTTATTATAATATATTGTGATGTATGAGCTACTGTGAACAAATAATTTCCCTTGTGGATCAGTAAAGTAAAGTTTGCCTAAGTCGAAGTCTAAGTTTAAATTGTAGACGTTGGATTTTTATTTGTTCTTTATTTTAGTGTTATGCCAACATAGTAGAAAAATAGTAGTAAAAGTAAGCTTATCTCCTTCGGCAAGGTCAGAAATTGTGCATTTTGAGAACATATTTTCAAACTGAATCTGATTTTAGAACTACTATTATACTCTACGTGTGTGTGAAATGTGCATTAAGTGTACTACCAGAGATACTTTTATGCCTTTTGTCTTCATTAATCAACTTGAAATAAATAAATTTAATGAATTTTGTCATTTTTAAATAAAGTAAACCAAACTGAACCAACACACACACATACCAGCGGTCTCCCCAGTAGCTCGGATCTGGCCCGTGAGGCTGAGTCCTTCTTCATGTACTCCACAAACCCATATCCTTTGGAGTGCCCCGTCAGCTCGCTGTACACCAGGAAGGAGCGCTCGATGTTTCCGTAGGCGCGCACCAGCTCCTCAAACTGCTGGGCGGTGTAGGTATGGGGCAGGTTGGTGACGCAGAGCAGAGAGTCTGTGGGCTGCAGGGTCACGTTGATCAAGCGCCCGCGAACAGTGCTGTGGTGGAGGGAGCGGATGGCATCCTGAGCCTGGTCCCCGTTCAGCAAAGTCACAAAGGCTAGAGGAGGACACATGATGGAGACCAAGATGGAGGACGGGACAAAAACAGTAAAAGACACATGAACAAGAGACATCAGACATCGAGAACATCCAAAAGGAAAAAAGGGGGCATAGGGAGGAAAGATGGAGGTGCGTACAAGCAATAGAAAGTAAAAAAATGGCGGGCAAAATGTGGAAAAGGAACAGATTTGAAGGGAGGTTGAAGCATGCTCAACACAGATCACAGTTATAGAGACAGACACACAGATACACAGAGAGAAAGACAACACATTAGCCAGAAAAGCCAAAAGGGAGGAAGGTACTATGTGGGGAGTGCACTGTGACACACACATATACACCTATATGTCAGTGAGCTACACTAGTCACAACCAGGATCGAGGCAGGAGATAGTGTAGTGTCAAACTAGTCATGGGCCTCTTGTAGTACAAATGTCACATATAGTATATTACATGTGTCAAAATTATTCGTATCAGCCTACATAAGACAGCAAGGCAGTGGACACCCCAGAAAATAAGAAAAAACAAAAACAAAAACATATTCATCATCTCTGGTAAGGTAGTTAAAGGTCCAATATTCCCAGTGGTGTAGTGGAGATTTTTTTTTTTTTTAAGTGGGGGTATGTAATTCGTGACTCCTCACTTTTCAGTACAAATATAAAGGTGCCAGGTCATTTTTACTTAAAACGATGCAGAATCATGTTGTTAATATTAATGCCGCTCATGATCACCTACAGAACATAAATCATAGACTACAACACATGAACCAGGTCTAAACCAGGACTGAACCAGGACTGAACCAGGTCTAAACCAGGACTAAATCAGAACTAAACTAGGACTAAACCAGGACTGAAACAAGACTGAACCAGGACTAAACCAGGACTGAAACTAAACTGAAGGAGGACTAAACCAGGACTGAACCAGGACAGGACCAGGTCTAAACCAGGTCTAAATCAGGAGTAAACCAGGAGTAAACCAGGTCTAAACCAGGTCTAAACCAGGAATGAACCAGGACTAAACCAGGACTAAACCAGGACTGAACCAGGACAGGACCAGGTCTAAACCAGGTCTAAATCAGGAGTAAACCAGGAGTAAACCAGGTCTAAACCAGGTCTAAACCAGGTCTAAACCAGGAATGAACCAGGACTAAACCAGGACTAAACCAGGATTCAATCAGGACTAAACCAGGACTAAACTAGGACTGAAACTAAACTGAACGAGGACTAAACCAGGACTGAACCAGAACAGGACCAGGTCTAAACCAGGTCTAAATCAGGAGTAAACCAGGAGTAAACCAGGTCTAAACCAGGTCTAAACCAGGACTGAAACCAGGACTAAACCAGGATTCAATCAGGACTAAACCAGGACTAAACCAGGACTGAACCAGGATTGAATCAGGACTAAACCAGGACTAAACCAGGATTCAATCAGGACTAAACCAGGACTAAACCAGGATTCAATCAGGACTAAACCAGGACTAAACCAGGACTGAACCAGGATTGAATCAGGACTAAACCAGGACTAAACCAGGACTAAACCAGGATTGAATCAGGACTAAACCAGGAGTGAACCAGGATTGAATCAGGACTGAACCAGTTTTAAACCAGGTCTAAACCCGGACTAGACCATGACTAAACCAGGACAAAACCAGGACTAATCTTGGACTTGACAGAGTGAGAGGGAGAACCCCGAGCCCACGGAGCAAAGCGTCCGCAAAGTAAAGCTCAATGGGGCGACGGCTGTGCTTTGCCCCATGGGGTGCAGGGCTCTATACAGGTCCTTTCACCTGCGATTACCTGACAGTCTACACGGGCTCATCTCCGGGCCCGTCCTGAGACTCAGTCCTGGTTCAGTCCTGGTTCAGTCCTGGTTCAGTCCTGGTTCAGTCCTGGTCCCTCATGTTTCAGGTCACTATAGGACAGTAGTGCAGACATCATGAGCCTATGCAGGTTGTTTTCATCATTGCCAACAGCTGCTGTTTGTCATTTAAGTTGTAGCTATTTTCTATTTTTTTTTATATCTCACGTTGGGAGTAGTGTGTTTACCCTCCCGTACCACTCCCACTACACCCCTGTTGTTACCTTATCAAAAACAGACCTGGAGTTGTGTTTTGTTTCATTCACACATGTCTGAGTAAGCCTGCACTGTTAGTCTGCTTTTATCTCTCACAAAGCTCAAAATGCTCTGCTCTGTTGTGATGAAGTAGTTTTCAAGTTACCAGTTACTACTTGTTCAGTAGAGACATTTCCAGGTCTGAAATTATCCAAATGATTCTTAGTGAAGGTGTATGGAGTTCAAAAACACAGTGGAGCACTTCCAGCATTACCACATGACATCATGAGAAGACATAACAGTTTCAGAGAAGAACTCAGCCTAAATATGCAGGGTTTGTGTGTTAAACATGTGTGAATGAAACAAAACACAAATCCAGGTACATGTTTTGATGAGGAAACAACATAACATAAATTGGAAAAAAAACTTAATATGGACCCTTAAAAAAAATGCAATTTACTTCAAAATATAGCTTTGATTTTGATATTAAAACATGTTTAACTGCACCTTTTAACTTGTTCGTGCAGAGAACTGTCGTGTTCTGTCTGTCTTATGAGTATTTTTCTGTGGCAGGCTGTGTATTTACGACAAATGTGACAAAGTGATCTTGAGAATTAGTTCAATGGATTTGGTATTTATTATGTTTCATTTCATGTTTTGTACAATTTATTTTTGAAGTTAAATTTGCACATCTGAATAATTATCGATGTTTGTGTAATCCCTGCTTCTCTGTGCTACAGCAAAACACGTTCTATAGATTTCTAAATGTGGGTAAATGACTCCACTGATACGTCTGAGCACAGCACACTGTAAACATGCTCTGCCTTTGTGTGCGCTAAAAGGTTTCCTCTGTTGTATCAATGGGAGCTCTAAGCGTCTAACATTATATTTGAGTTCTCATGATTGAGTTTAAAGAGGCTCTGGCCTGCTGTAATGTGCTTTAATGTGATGTTGAGATGAAGCTGCTCTGTTACTGTAAGTGTGACCTGATGGATCTGTGCTGGGCCTCGCTCGGCTTTTATTCAATAGATCACGCACACTGCACACTCACCTACTGAAGGTAAACATGACAAATATGCGTGGTTCAATACAATGTGTAAAGGGCAACTATGCAGCAGAACAGATTTGTTTCAACATGGGGTTTTATTACAAAGTCAAAGTAATGTTTTGATAGTCAAAGCGATTTCTAAGTTTAAATCTGGGGTATCTGATTTTCAAACACTTGGAGGAGGATGGTATTAAAATCTCATTTGTTTCTAACTCTCACAAATCCTTTGGCACATCGCTAGTATTCACAGACGCACATCTTCAGATCATCTCACCATAGACACACACACACACACACACAGCTCTCTCTGACCCTGGGCTCAGACTGCAGGAGGTCCAGCTCTGGTGCATTGGTCTGAACGTGAACATGGTCTTGTGTGTCGTTTCAAAGACAGTGACCAAACAGATCAACACCACAGCAGCTCAGCAGAGTCTCACTCTGAGTGTCACATCACAACACAACTGCTCTGACTCTGCAGTCACAGCTGGACCAGGTGCGGTCTGAGCGAGGCAATACAAGGCTACTTTAACTTCTTGGGTTCTTTTACAGTCAAGTGTATTTACCTTGTTGTTATACCTTCTTGTACCTTGTACCTTGTTGTTACCTTGACATGTTTCGGCTGCTGCTGCAAGTCATCTTCAGAACTGTCCCGGGGTTGGAGGTGACGTGTCGTATATAAACTGCTCTTACTTCCTGTAGGCGTGGTCAGCCTGATGGACCCAGCAGGTCGCTCAGACTGAAAAACGCCTCCCACAGCCTGGTGTTATCTGGAAAAGGGTGTCCCAGGTGTGTGAAAGGAGGAACACTCCATCATCATGGTTAATGTTGTCCGTGCCTTCCTGATTTAAATGGCCTCATTGATCCAGCGTTTGAACTTCTTGTTTTTCGATCCAATGACCCGAGCCTCGTCCCAATCCATAATTTCTTTTACAGTGGTTTGACATGGTGTATTTTAGGTTTTCCTGCTCTGCTTTGTCTTTTTGTGTTCTGGTGAGTCAGTTCTGAAGATGGCTTGCAGCTACTAGGCAAAACTTGTCAAGAAGGTAAATATACTTTATTGTATTGTCTGTAACAAGAACCCAAGAAGTTAATTTACAAAATACAATAAAATGAACATCTTTGGCTTAATACAAGGATATGTTTATATGATGACGGTCTGAACAGAAGACGCAAAAGTGGTGTTGCGTCTTCACTTTTTTTTCGGAAATTTGCGTGCATAAGTGACGCAAAAGTGTGTGGAATTTGACGCATGGAAATGATCCGACATGTTTGTTTCTGTGTGCTGTATGTATGTGACGTAAATGCGTGCGCGATGTGAGCAGATCTGATCAGAGTTTTGTGTCTTGCGCAGTGTAGATGGAAACGCTACGGCAGAGCGTATTCAGCTTTTCCACTCTGGAGGATGGTTTCAGATTTTTGCATTTTTAAGCCCCGAAAATGCCTAAAGCTGTCTGAACTAACGAAAGGCACTTCCGATAAAATATTTTGTCATTTTTACCCGCAAATGTTCTCATGTAAACAGGCCCCAAGTGTTTAAAAATATTTTACAGTTAGGTTTCAAACTGCACGCAGAAGTCTGATTTTGTCACAAAGTACTGCTTTCGTAAAACACAACAGAATGTTCTTATTTGCATGAAACAAGTTGGAAAACACAACATTAAAGGTGCACCGCGTAACCTTTGTGGTGTGGGTGAACTGTCAGGCATTTACAAAGCGCAATGGTTAAATTAAAAGCAGATTCATTTTTCAAATCAAATGTACACCTAAGCCCAAGTCTTTGGCCCGTCTCACAACTTGAGTGATTGTGGTGCTGTTTAATATATAGCGGGAGAATTGCATACAAAGTGAAATGAAAAGTGCAGAGGAGAGCACTGTATCCTGTGTATTAGCTAAGTGGTGGGA